CAAAAGAGCAGACGTTGTAAGGAAGAGGACACTGATTTTGCAGTGGGAGGGGAGGCCTCAAGCTATTTGGCTTTTTGGGAAGAGAAGATTGCTGTTGAATTTTTAGAATGTGTCTTATTAATGGAAAAATACCATTTATAGCTGTTTACCATTTTTGTGGTAAATAGTAACAATGTTATCAGGCTCACTTACATGTTTTGAGACTGTCAGGAAGAGTTTGCAATCTGAGTATTTAATTTTCATTAATATTAGCTGAAATGGAGAATAAGTGTCCTCTGGGTAGTTCAGTCTTTGTCAGAAGATTTTCACACTTGCTGTCCTGCAGGAAGACACTGAAATGAGACTCATAATACTGCCAATAGGTATTGTCCCTCTAAATACAGAAGAGAATGTCCTTCCTTAAGAGCTTTTCTTCGCTCTGGCTTCCTTTCATTGTAGGCTGTTTGAATATGGCAGTTTTTCTGTTAGTACTTAATGCATGCTCACACTGTGGAAGTCTAGAGGAAGTGTGGTTATTCTTACTTGCTCAGAGGTGATCAAGGCTCAGATTGAGGTTAAAATGCTCAAGCCAGCGAGGGAGGGAGAGGGATGAGAGTTCGCATCCAATGCCTTTGAACAGCCATCATCTAGCTGCTGGCCACTCCTTCCCAGGGAAGCCCTTCACATTTATTTCACCTTCTGCAGTAAAACGTGGCCCCATCCCCACATCTTGTTTCTCTCCCCAGGCTGCCTTGTTTCATATGCTTCCCTGCTTAGCATCCTCGCTTGGAGCTTGGGCTCTGGAGAGGATTCCAGTCTCTTCAGAGGAGTTTGCTTGCCGCACCCCTTTGCTCTCAGGGCAGCGTGGAGCTGAGCTGCTGGGTACAAGCAGGGAGAGGGATGACAGCAATGCCACCTCTGCTGTCCATGCATGGCCTGTGACAAAAGTTAGGTGCCAGAATGAGCTCCAGAACAGGGCTGGTTGGCGTTGAGGCTCTTGGGTTCCTGTGGGGAGTCGGTTCTATGAGGCAGCCACTGCTGGTGGGTTTGTGTTGGCTAAATGAAGCAGCCCACACGTTAGCAGCTCAGCTTTTAGCAGGTCCTTTTTGGGGGGTAATGCAGGAACCTGACAAATGCGCCTGGGCAGCTGTCTGCTTCTGAGGGCAGCAGATCAGGGTGTCTCTGACCTGCCTGGTTAACAGGACCGTGCCTTGCCTCCAGCTGCAGGGCTACATGGGTTTGCACTGGTTTGCTGAGCTGGCTTAGACAGGCGTAAGCATCACATTTTGCTCTAACTCTACTCTAAGAGGTCTCACCTGCACCTGTGGACAGTGTCCTAGCTTCCGTTAGCAAAGACCACGGGAGAGGGCTGTCTGCTGTCTCAACTCTCCACACGCTGCACAGAGGCCTTCATACCAGTCTTGTGGGAGCAGGTCTCACAGGATTCCCACAATAAAACAAACTGAGATACAACTGAGTACACCAAGTGCCTCACATGAGCCACAAGGTCCCCTCTTCTCACTTGTCGTCTCTCACAGTCCATCAGCCAGACTCTCCTGCATCTACAGGTGCCACCTGCCTGGTAACTAAGCAGTTCAGAAATTTGATCCAAGAACTGAGTGTCCCTACCCGCTGATGGGGGACTGGTGATTAGTTTTTGTATTGCATCTTTTTGTCTGAGAATTGGTTGCTTCCTTAATCGTCTCAGTTATAGATTATTGGTCGGGGGGCAAGGGGGGGGAGTGCATCTTTATAGTGCAATAGTAATTTTCCTGCACATTAAACAGATGGGAGGAGGGGGGAGAATGTAACACGTGATAGAATTGTCAATATGTACATATCTGTGAGAGACTGAGAGTCATAAACAAGTACCATAAGAAACAGCTGATCACTGCAAGCCCTTTTCTTTATCTTCCACTACCTTGCCAGTAGCTAACTGTACACTGACATTTCTTCTACCTAATGGAAACTTAATGCAGACAGCACTTAAATTTTCTTGACTTATCAAATGTAGGCACCATGGCTGTATTTTCAAAGTGATCTGTAGATTATCTGAGCTAGTCCTCCATGGCTGTTCATGTGAAAGTTCTGGTGTCAGCCTTTGCCAGTGGGAAAGGAAGACATAAATACGTATCTTGGGAGTGGCAGCTATAATTTTCTCCACTGTGGTCATCTGTGACTGAGGCTTTGCAGAGCTGCACTCTTTAAAAGAACAGATTCCTGGGCCTGGTAATTTGGGAGACAGTTCTGAAAAACAGAGACAAACCCATGATGTGAAGAGATGGAAAATGGTTAGGTAAGTGACCACAAAAATGGGCCAGAAATAGTAAGCAAATTGCAATTTTTATTTAAGCCTTTCTCTTATTCTGGGAAAAATAGGGAAATGCTGACTTGTTTGCAATTCTACTAAAAGTCTTTTCATGTTACAC